ATAAATATCTGTACGGCCAAGAATTTTTTAATTGGGACCAGATCATGCGGCTCTCAGAGTGGCTTATGGAGATGAAACAACCTGAAGGTCAAATAGCACGATGGCTCGAGAAGCTGCAACGAGTATCCCTTTACCATCAACATCGTGCTGGAAAAATGCATGGTAACGCCAGACGGTTTATCCAGAAGACCCTGTCAAACCGATTGTAAGCACTGCTGTAAAACGGAACAACGTGAAAGAGCACTGTCATGATAAAGGAGTTTTAAACTTGGAACCGATGAACAGTGGACGACGACACAATTGAGGAAAGATCAAATGGAAGATCAGACATCGGAGCAATACTACGGCTCAAAGGAAGGTAACGGCGAGAGACCACCGTGGCGGGATATTGCGGACAGAGGGCTCGTTTTTCAAAGCTCTCTGGGCTCAGTGGAGATTCACTGGTTATTGAGAATGGATTGTTAAAGCGCACGTGGGAAAGTGCGGATGGCAGGACAGTAACAACTCAGTTACTGGTACCAAGGAAGAAAGTTACCAGGTATTGGAAGAAATTCACGGTGGTAAAACTGGAGCCCATCTTGGAGTAAACAAGACCTTGAGCTTAGGCTGAGAGATCGTTTTTACTGGGTGGATTATTGCGAAGATGTCAAGAAATGGTGTCGACAATGTAAAACTTAATGCAGCCAGCCAGGACCGAAGCACTCGATCTGAGGAAAAAATGAAACAATATAACGTTGTGGACTGCCGATTCAGAAAGAATCGCTGTTGTACAGCCCATTCCTAGAAACGCAAGAGAGCAACAAGTACGTTTTAGTAGCGATGGATTATTTCAGTAAATGGCCAGAAGTTTTGCCATTTCCAAACCAAAAAGCATCGACTGTAGCTGAAGTATTAGTCAATAATGTCTTCAGTAGATTTGGAATTCCTTTAGAGATTCACACTGACCAAGGAAGGAACTTCGAGCAAGACTGTTCCAGAAGATGTGTGCGATCTGCTTGAGTATTCACAGAGACTAGGACAACAACTTTACATCCACCCAGTCTGATGGGATGGTCAGAAGATTCAATAAGACCATTGAAGAACATCTCTCGAAAATGGTGGATGAACATCAAAGATTGGGATCAGCATATACCACTATTCCTAATGGCATATATAGAAGTGCAGTTCACAACACCACCGGACTTTCACCATCGAAGATTTTATTTGGTCGAAATTACGGTTGCCTTGTGACTTGGTGTTCGGATCACAAGACGACAGCACCACGAACGCATGAGGACTACGCGGATGAACTGAAGGAAAGGTTATCGGGGAATTCATAAGGCCGTGAGAGTAAGATTACGCTAGCCAGTGACCGGATGAAAGCTCGTTACGACCTCAGAGCTAATTCTACGGGATTTCAACGGGACTGATATGGTATGGTTATATAACCCACAGCGCAAGAAGGGAGGTCCCCAAAGTTAACTCCAGCATGGGAAGGTCCTTATACAGTCATCAAGAGGATAAATGATGATTTGTTATACCCAGTTCCAACAGCCCTAGCCTAAGTAAGATGAAAGTAGTTCATCTGGATCGATTGAAGAATACCAGACAGGAAACCTTGATCAGGGACGATCAAATTTGAGAAAGGAGGGGCAATGTCAAGAAAAATGGCGCATCCGCCAGAAATTAAAATGTATTACTGGTTGCCTGCTGCAACCGCAACGTATCCACCAGTTAAAGACTTTTCAGGCGCCATCTTTTAGATCAAGTCGAGAAGTAAAGGAATCAGTTGAATTGGGTATACGGTATGAAGAAGATACGCTTTCGAGGTGGGGAAATTTCGAGAAGCAGTCAATAGAGTATATAAGCCAGGAGCAATGCGTCAACTGAGACAGTTTTTGAAATTTGAATATACCGCGTGGAAATTGAAAATCGGACAATTTGGTGAAGGAATCTTATAAATAGTTAGTTTGTTGTGTGTTATAAGTTAGTAATTGTGTATAAAGTGAGAAAATAAATTCGTTAAGTATTTTATCGTGAGTTTAAATTAGTGGACCCACGGAATCCGTAACAGTATTATTGGTATGGAAATTAGCCAAGAAAGAAAGGAATTGGCTATAACTTGTAATTTTTCGAAAAAAACATATTATACCTATATCGCTGAAAAGCTTAAAAAATGGCGGTTTTTATGAAGTCATGGCCAACTATGGTTTCCATTTAAAAAAAACATAATGTTTGTTTCATATGTCAAAAATGACAGGTTTTAGAAAAAAAACACAAAACACAAACTCATTAGGTATGTGATTATCTACAACTTTTATCTGAAAACTTTTTTGTCTAAAATACCGTATGTGATCGAATAAAGAAACAGCTTCAGCGATGGCTTTATGAAATGACGATCGATGATATTTCCCATATAATTTTACATAAATATAAAATGACGATCTTCATTTCATAGCCATCGATTGACAAATCGTTTTTATTCCGATCATACGATGAGATTATAATGGAATTAGAGACAAAGTTTTAAAATAGCCAAAATTTGTTTTTTTCGAAATATCTAGTAAGCCTTGAATCTCTCCGAAAAATCCGAAAGGCGCATATTTATGACCCCACAAAACTGCAATTTTTTCCCCATTTAACCGACTCTCTATCTCCAGTAGTTTCCGAGATATCCATAGAGAACATCGTAGAAATATAAATAAAACACCCTGTATAGTATTTAGAAACTAACTATTATTATTATTTGACTAGATTAATTTGATTAATAAAACTCGATTAATATAATTTAAAATAAATTTGATCAGATTTTTTTTTCGTATATTCTACTACCAGAAAACAAAAATTATATGATAACGCACTTTTCAACGAAGTTGAAGGAAGATATAGTGTATCTATCACAATACTTAATAAGAATTACTACAATTAGAAGAAAACAAAAAGAAAAAATACCCAAATACCTTCACCTACTACTCATCTACAAAAGATAAACTAATATAATCTCTTATAAAACACTACACAACTACTTCTTCACTACTTCAACCACTTCTACACTGAAAAAAATTATCAAACTTACTAATTAATCAAACAAAAAGAAAAAATAACCAAATTATCCCATTCACCCACTACTTAACTGCAAAATAATAAACTATAAAAACACTGCTAAACTATTTCTGGTATTCTACACTAAACATTTATGAATTAAGCTTAATAAAATTAATCTAATTTTACACTACAACCACTACAAGCTACAAGGAAATAAGAACATTTTTAAAACTAGAAGAAACAGAACTTCGATACGATGGCAACCAGTATAATAGATCAAACGGACAAAAGAATATAAAATACTCTAAAATGTGCATTCAGAAAAAAAATATCTCGAAAATTATCTAAACAAACATTTTTTTTCTTATCAGTGAAAAGCATCGGCCTCGTCAGCCTTGCGAAATTTGTCGGGTATTTTACAATGGTCGAATTATATAATTACCAGTTTTTATAGCATATCTAATAGACAAAGTATCTGGTCGATTGGTAACCAATTGGCACAGTCCGAAAATTATCGATTTTTATTTTCTCTCTTTTTATTGGTCGCTTCAAAATTCGCAGTAACAAAAATATTTTTCTGTAGTAAAAGATTGTGAAATACGCCCCGCCATCTGGTGCTTTACATCCATAAACGTCTTAGGTTGAGCTACTTTAAAAATTCATATACAAGGCTATAACTAATTAAAACAAAACCGAATCATTACATACAAGGTGTCCCACTTAAGATGGATACAAGCCAATATCTTGGTTGTTTGTTGAGCGATTTTTTTCATTTTTGGTAGGAGGCTGTATGGCTATAAGACGTACATTTTGCACAGGGTAAGAAATGCGACACCTCATAGACGTACGTTTTAATGGGGTTTGATATTTTTCGAGTCAAGAGTAAGCTACCCTTAGAACAGTCATTATTTCAAATCTGATAAATTCTATTGAATCCTCCTTACCTAAGATACTTAAGTTCTAATTTTTATAAATATTGATACAGGGTGTGTCATAAAAAAAGACATTTTTATTTTTATTATTATTTTTTTTTAAGTACTTACGACGCCACTGGATAAACAACTAGTTTATTATCAATAACCAATTATATCTAATTATCAATTAATAATCGATTTAAGTTTGGTCGAAGATGGTCGAAGATGTTGACTTTTAGTTCGTTATAGTTTTATAAATCTTTGTTTAGAGCATAAGTTAATAGTAAACAATCACTATTAACTAATAAACTAAATAACTATTTAGATTTTTAAAAATATTCCTTAATAAACTCATTTTATTCATTTGTATTAGCAAACCTAAAAAACAATTTTTTAAAGTAAACAAAATAAATTGAAAATATTTAGTTTTTTTGTATCATATCTTAATTATTATGGAAGCTATCTGAAAACTAATATCGATTATTAATTGATAATTGGTTATAATTGTTATTGATAATAAACCAGTTGTTTATCCAGTGGCGTCGTAAGTACTTAAAAAAATAATAATAAAAATAAAAATGTCTTATTTTAATAACACACACTGTATCGATATTTATCAAAATTAGAACTGAAGTATCTTGGGTAAGGACGATTCAATATAATTTATCAGATTTGAAATAAATACTGTCCTAAGGGTAGTTCACTCTTGACCCGAAAAATATCAGACCCCATTAAAACGTACGTCTATGAGATATTGCATTTCTTACCCTGAGCAATATGTACGTCTTATAGCCATACAGCCACCTGCCAAAAATTAAAAAGGTCGCTTAACAAACAACCAAGATATTGGCTTGTATCCATCTTAAGTGGGACACCCTGTATGTAATGATTCGGTTTTGTTTTAATTAGTTAGCTACCTAGTTAAAGAAAATTTCAATGTTTTGTTTCCATGTTACTTACTCGTTATACTCGTTCAATATTTTTTTGACATTAAAAATAATGTATTAGGGCTTGTATTCATCTTAAGTGGGACACCCTGTATATGTTTTTCTTATATTCTAGATACGGAAAAACATACGGAAACGATTCAAGAGACGCAAAGAGATGGCTTAGAGGAGATTTTGGAAATTAGTTCATCACATTCATAGCATTTTGAGATAAAATTCAAAGAAAAGTGTGTCTGTGTAATATAAAAAGCGCCCTAAAACGTAAAAATATAATATATTTCAAATATCAATAAGGTAACATTTTCTATGTACACATTAAAAGATTTTTTATAATTTGGCGCCAGACTTCCAATTGCGTAAAAGATCGGCAGCGGCTTGGAGATTTTTATCTTGCTAAAAAATATACAAAAACTCATCTAAACGTTCTTTATTCACTGTGATTGTTCTTACCTTAATGAAGCAATATCTCACAAAATTTTCTCCCAAAGGTTTATGTTCTTCACTGTAAAAAGCGGTTGGTGGAATTCCTTGTAAACCAACATTTTTCGTCATCCATTTTGTGAATCTGTAGTCCTTGTATTTGTCTTTTTCCGAACTAAGATTAAGTTTCGATTCTAAAAAGAAATAAAATAAAATTTTATTTCCGTATATCAAATAAAAGTCTTGCAATCAAGATAACGTTGTCTGTCATTATAAGTAAAAAAATAGGCCGTTGCCTGTCAAAATCGATCCCTCTCTCGCAACATAGACTATATTATTTATGTTTAACTTCCGTATTATTACTATGTTTTTCCATACAAATTTACCTACAGGGTAGACCCAGCATTCTGAAAACATACAGGCAATAAATGCGCACATTTTAATGATATTTTGTCAATGTACAGGGTGATTCACAAATATTTTCAAATTAAATTATATATTTTTAAATAGTTTAAATCACCCTGTATATTTCTCCAAAAAAATCCTTTATGGGTATAACGCCAAAATTATAATGAAAGCCAAAATTATAATGAAAGAAGCGATAGCCTCTAAAAGAAAAATAAGAGGCTTTTTTAATTCAATCTAATAAAAATAAATGTATTGCTCATGCATCTGTAGATGTTAGCAATGTGTGGCAATCGCTTCTTTGATTTTAAAGAACATAAAATAAATAAACATAACATACGTAAAATTTAAAAATAACCATACAGAAAGTTTGGGGCTTTTTGGTTTTACCTTATTAAGTAATTGTTATCAGGTAGTAATTGTTAATTTTGAAGTTTAACTTGATATAATGTCATTTTAACAGAACGTCAACGGTTTCTTGTAGACGTATCTGTTTTAAAAAAGTAAAGTGTTCTCTAATAGTTTGAATTTAAATATTTTAAATAGTTTTTTTCTTTATTCTTTGTATTTTTTTGCTTCCGACGGCGGAAAGAGATAACTTTCCGAAACATTAAAAACTGTGTACCATGTGTGGCTCGAGGATTTCCGATGTAACTTCGGCTTGTGTGTCGGATACACATTGTACCATTTGTGGTTCTCCCATCGTGGATCGTGACATAACGTCGGTTTCCAATGTTTCATAGGTATTTCATACATGCGTCCTTATATAAAATAAAGATTCTTGTATGCAACACACTGTATTTTATATATAAAATTAAACGAAAATAATAATAAATTTGAATAAACAATATTTGGCGATATAATTCCGGAAAAAGCCGAACCGCTCCGAAATTTTCAAAAGTTTTGGGTCGCGACCGTAGCAAGAATAGCGCCAAATAGTGTTTACATTGTCCTTATGGGCACTTTCCAATCTAAACTTGTTTCATTTATCTATGCTGTAAACAAAACTTGGCTTCGGTGAACTATCCTGACACACGATTTTTCCTAGAAAATGAAGTTTATGTTACCTTAAAATGAATTTCTTAGATTATTTGACTAAAATCTGATGTGGAAAAACACGTTTCACATAAAAAACATTCTTAAAAATGTTATTTTATTTTTATAGCAAATTCCATAACCGATAATGAAAGAGTCGCGGACTTGTTTATATCCGTTTCTATGTTTACGCTGACAGTAGTGAAGGTCATAAAATAATTAACTAGAAAGAAGTGTCAACTCTGTGTTAAATCGTGGAAATACGATACGCCACCGAAAGCCTTCGTTGTCGTCTGGAGAACTAATTTTCCAATTGATAGTTTGACATGCTAAGGACATGATGGCTTAATTTTGATTTCCGTTTCCGGTTATTCAATGGCGGGCCCTCTTTCAGTTCAAATATATTTTGTATTTTTTCTTTTCATAAATAAAACCAAAAAATAATTTATTCACATATATTTATTTGAAATATGGAACAACGTGACTAAATAAATATAAAAATATAGAGGATTGTATTGTTTCAGTACCAATTAGTTAATTATATGTACTTTTAACGTAAATTAGTTAAGGTATAAGCATGACTTACAGTAATTTGTAAATAAACACACGTATTCCCAGACTTCAAGGACAGAAAACGGACACAGGGACATGAAAACGGGAGCCTTATACAAAAACCTGAAAACAGAAAAACAAATTTTTTTATACTAAAATTAACAATGTAAAAATATCAATAGGTATAAGATATAAATATACTGTTTAAAAAAGCGTCCATTATTTCCAAAGAGACCTGGCTTATAAATCAAAAAGCAAAAAGAGACTTTTAGTCGGATAACATAATCAGATTATCAGTCCGATTTATTGCATTATTGACAATAAATCGCACATATTGGAGATAACTAATGTTGGCTATAGTTAAAAATGATCTTACCTTGCTGTAAATTGTTTCCATTTTCAAAAAAATCGCCGATCAAAGAGATTATAACACCATTTTTTGCATCTAAAAAATGTAAAAACAATGTTTATTTACTACCTATTTTTCATATACATGGGACATACCTACTACTGCAGAAACGTCATTTTCTCAGGATTCTTCATGTAATATATATTTTATATACTTTATTACCTTTATATTTATAAATTTCAGCCGAAATATTAAATTGAACTTCCAAAATGAAACTAAACGGAATGAATTAAAATGGCGTCGAATATTTTCGAATTTGTTCTAGAACAAATCTGAAGTTGTCTCTGAAAGTGAAATCTGTCAATTCTAAACTGCGAAGTTAGACAATAGTTAGACAAAAACAATGCTGTCCTTGTCTAGGCGGCCATACTTGTCGTGAAGAGAATGACAGGAATGACACTAATGACTGTTTCCAATTTTCCTATTTCACTGTCACCCCCCTGGTGAAGGTCGAGTTTTGACAAATATTGCGAATTGATACATGGTTGTCAGATCAGCTAGTAAATTATCCGGAAATTCATGCATCTTTTTTTAGGGAAAAAAATGACGTCATAGGTTTTAAAATATTTCTTTTAATACGAATTAGGGTAAGCTATCACTTTAGTGCAACAAGTGGATTATTTTAAAGCAATTTCTGAAATAAAATTTGCAATGAAGTTTTGTCATTAGGCACAATTAGGTTAGCCTGGTTATTTGGAGGGTGTTAATGCATTGGTTAGCCTAGTTATTTGGAGGGTGTTAATGCATTGGTTAGCCTGGTTATTTGGGGGATGTTAATGAATTGGTTAGGTGCGGTTATTTGGTGGGGTTGGTTGCTTAAGCGTGTTTTGATTGCTTTTGTTTCGCTCTTTTGTTGTTTTTTTTAGTTTTCCCATTCACACATTACCAACGCATTTTTATTATTAAAAATGACTATTTTTTCAATCTAAAAATAAAAAACAGAAAAAGAAAATTCAGTGGAACTGGAAACATTGCTTTTCTTTCTGACGCTGTCATGTTAAATCAAGTGTGAAAATTCTCCATACCGTCAAATATGTATCAAAAACGACTAAAATTAAATTACAATATTTTAAAATTCTGTGCATAATCTCCATTTATTTTTATTTAAAACTACTACTAAAAATGGTTACTTTTTGATAAAAAAAAAGAAAAATGCAAAAATCGTGTGTCAAGATAGTTCATTGGACCCCAAAACTTCTGACAAGCAGCGTCCGTTTAGGTTTAACGCAGAAGTGTTTACAAAAAATAACTATTTTATTTTGTAGATTTTCTTGCAGTGCAGTGGCGAAATACCCATAAAGGATTTTTTTGGAGAGATGAATCCGCCACATAGGTATAGACATTTTTTACCCTGTATATTGACAAAAATATTTTTAAGCCAGCCGTCGAGGGAAGTCACGATTTCGACAGACAATATACAAAAAATGACAGAAAATATAATCAAGAGGTTTCTGGCAAAAACCCCGTTAGTCAGATATTTCGAAATTTGGAAAAACTAAAAAAACGTATATCTTGCTCCCATTTAAATTTAAAACGTCATTTTTTTGTGTGGGCTCTGGTTATAATCTGAAATTACAGAAAACTAGTTTTCTTCATTTTTTTCTTATTTTTAAGTTAGGAAGGGCGTGAATTTGTTCGACTTGTGGGGTGTTTGCTGGAATTTTGGCAAAAACCGTGGACGTTGTTGTTCTTATTTCTATGCCTACTCTGAGGTCATTTTCATTTCATCATATTATGGTAGACTGTGGTACTAAAAATAAATATTTTTTTTAATTCTTACCTAGAGGAGTCCAATCGGCCAACATGAAATAACCACCCTCTGGTACAATAGGCTTCATTCCAGCTTCTTGCAAAAATTTGGCCATAAATTCCTTTTTGGGTTCCAATTCCTTTGATATAGAAACAAAATAACATTCGTCCGTTCCCAAACGAGCAAGTTCAGTTTCAAATCCTATAGCAGCAGCTTCCTGTAACAGATATTGATAGTAAAAATTTCAAATATATTTTTAAAATTTTGTTGGAAATTTTCATATTAATTAATTAAAAGACGCACCTGAATTGGTGTACAGCCAGTGTATACAGAGTTTTGATGGATCATTTGCAAGTTAAATAGTAAGTTTGCAGGTCCATATGCCCATCCTAATTTCCATCCTGTCACACTGAAAGTTTTTCCAGCAGATCCAATTGTAATTGTTCTTTCCCACATTCCAGGTAACGTAGCTAAAATTATGTAAAATTAAACTTAAGTTAGTTATAATTTAGTTTAATCTTACCTATCCTAATATGCTCATGTGGTTTGTATACCATCCATTCATAAACCTCGTCTGAAATGCATAAGACATTGTGTTTCTTACACAAGTCAGCAATATGAGTCAATTCGTCTCGCGTAAAAACCTTTCCTAAAGGATTATTTGGAGTATTTAAAATTATTGCTTTCGTTTTAGGATTAAAAAGTTTTTCTAGTTCGTCTCTGTCTAACACAAAATCTGCAGATGATAACACACTTTTATTGGTATTTTTCTAAAAACAGTCAAACAGTAGTATAAGTAATGTCAATACAGTAATGAGTAATATAGAAATGAAATATTAAAAAATGGTTATCATATGTAGGGCAAAAAAAAATATTTTCAATAAGCGTATTGCAAAAAAATGTTCAAATGCATCAAAATATTTTTTGTCAAAAAAAAAAAATATTGACATAAAAGTAATAAGTAATTGACACCATAGTGGGAAGCGGTACTTAAAGAGACTAATAGAAAAAGCCTCACAAAGTACAGCAATTAGCAACTCTTGGTACAACTGGAGCAAGGCTGCTTGGTACAACTGGAACAACACAGCGCAAGCTGCGCTAGAAGCAATTCTGGACTTGCAATCAATTGACTGGCTCGTTGAGGATCTGCCCGCTAAGGGTGCCCTAAGATTAAGGGAATCCAGTCTGTGGAACCAGACCAACTACAGTCACTCGAGGATATCGCCAGTGATAGGAAAAATCATGGTGAACATCTGCTAGACCAGAAAACGGACTATATGCTCACTAAACATGATTTTGGAGAAAAGATAAGGATTCGAGTAATGAACACTCAAGAGATAGCAGTCTACACAGATGCTTCCGCAACTTCAGGAGGCACAGGTATAGGCATCTTTTCAGAGGAACTACCCAAGTAACATTTTAAGTTCCTTTAGGTTATATATTCTCAAGGTTAGTTATATAAAGGTTTAATAAATAATTCATGGGTATCTTACAGTGTTTTGATATATATATATATATATATATATATATATATATATATATATATATATATATATATATATATATATATATATATATATATATATATATATATATATATATATATATATATATATATATATATATATATATATATAAGTGTAGCGTTGGTTACTTATCACTAATAGCAACCTTGAAATGTTGTTTATCACTTTCCTTATAAAACTAGAGGTTCTTGTTACTAAAGGTTTCATAATAAGGTTTTATAAAGGTGTTCACGTCTATTTTATATAACTTCTGGTATTAGGTGTTATAAAGGTACGCAAGATATACACTACATAATTAAAGGTGTTATTAAGAACCATTATGTAACCAATAATACTACAAGTTATATAATTGTTTCCTCAAATCGTTTTTTTGCACCTTTCAAATGTTTGTATGCTTTATATAACCTGTAGTTACCGAATATCAAACCTAATGACATAACCTCAAATTTTTAATATAATCAAAACATATAATATATTAGCAAGCAAAGCAATTCGGTATTATAATGAATAATAAAAAAATAAACTGGACAAAACACAAAAATACGTCTACGTTCAAAAGAAAGGTTTTTCAGAATTTAAAAAAAAATAGGAATAATCCAAACCTCATTCAAACTACACCTACCAATATTGAAAGCCAACATGCAAATTTACCATCCACAAGCATTTCCAACAGAAAGTTGCCAAAACGATCAGGAACAGAAAGATGCCTGGTTAAGGCATTCTCTAACATAAGAGAATGAGCTTTGCGCTTTAACATTACACATTCTGCACTTAAAGAGCTTTTTTCTATAGTCAATTCATTCATAACTGTTCTACCAAAGTGCCAAAGGACCCTAGGACTCTTTTGCAAACTCCGATCACTTTAAATATAGATTAAATTGAACCAAAACAGTATTATTAATTTTATGAGGTTATGTTTTGTTTTCTGCACATTTTCTGTCAAATTGCTGTAATGTCAAACTTCGTTCGCAGGGTGTCGCTACAGTCGACACCACGGGTAACATAAAGGTTTTCTGGGTGACTAAAAGTAGCCATAAACACCCCGGCATTTATAATAGTGATTTGTATCACCTTTAGTTGTATAAAACACTAAAATTGGTGTTTTAAATAACCCAAACTCATTTACGCAACCTTAAGTAACCAAATTTATATAATGGTTGATGAGTATGTTATAGACCCTAAAGTAATATATAGCACTTTAAATATAATGGACGCCATTATTATTGATGTCTTCATTTTTGGCTACAATGAGTATTTCTAAGATAACGTTGAAAACTGGTACAAAACTATATTTTGGCCAGTTGACAGTTATTTCTATGTATTAAAAAAGTCTTATGTTCTATTATTTGTATTAATAAATTTGACTTTCATTACAAAAATTTTACCATATTTTTTTTGTTTATAAAAAAATCTATTAAATAATTCTGCTTTTGGGGGTGCATGTGTTTTTTGGAGGTAAAATTGATTTTCATACAGTAAATTTAATATCGCATATGTATTTAGTACTCTGGCTAGGCACAATAGATTTTATTAAGCAAGTAATTTCTATAAAGTCATTTGCATAACGCAAACGCTTTTGTAGGGGGCATCATTTGGTCTCTTGCATCTGGTCTGGATTATCTGCGTAGGACAACTTGGAGCAATAAGATCATATCTGCTTTTTATGTTAAAAAAAGAGGCAAATATTAAAGTAGTTAGTCAGAAAGAAACAAGTTTATTTTCAAAAAACGCGCATGCGCGATATTTCTATGGAGGTAATCTCTGGGAACCCTCTCAACACCACTATATAACTATTATATACCCTTCTTCAGTTTTATAGCGGTAACTCGATAGGATATATAAAGGTGTTGAGAAAGTTTTCAGGACTTTGGTTGCACACCTTGAGTGTTGCGGATTACCACAGGAACAGTTATAAAAGGCACCGTTTAGGGCATATAAGTGTTATATAATGGTTACCAATAACTCACGACAACCATTCTAGATGCGTTTAGGTTGTATAATATGGTGTTGGGAAGTTTCCTAACACACATATAAAAGAAAAAATGTTTCTTGGGTAGACATCCGACGATCTTTAAGACTATTGGATGGCTGTAATATTCTACAAGCAGAGGTTTACGCCATAAAGGAAGCAGCTAGTTGTATACGAAAGAAAATTGCTGATAGACCAACAGGGGATATAGTGATATACTCTGGCAGCTTGGGCGCTTTAAGAACCATCATCATGCAATCAGTGAGATCGAAAACTATGATGGAATACCGAGAAGCACTGTCCTGGCTGTGTCAAAGCGGGGCTACTCTATGCTGGGTGCCAAACCACAGCAATGTGGTGGGCAATCAGGAAGCAGACAGACTCTCCAAAGAGGGGGCCAGGGTAGAGGCCGTAGCAGATGACCCACCACTTGTGGCGATCAGCACACTGAAGGAAGCTATAGGAACTGCCATCAAGGCCAAGCAGCAAGAGACGTGGCAATACCGTGAGGACTGCGCTAGAGCTCGAAGACTATGGCCAGTGGTAGATAACAAAAAGACAAAACAACTTCTAGAGCACAAAAAGAACCTAGTACGCAAAATTGTAGGTGTCGTCACTGAAAACTGCCCACGGGGGTAAACCTCGTGAGATGGAAAATTCCCAACGACGACTACTGCAGAGAATGTGGAGAAGAAGAAACCATAGAGCACCTGCTGTCCGGCACTGGAATACCGACGCTTTAAAACTTTAGGGCAAGGTTTTTTAGAGGGACTAGAGGAAGCAACATCAGGGACATCGGGAACTTTGCAAAGAGCTGGAAGTGCTTTAACGCAAAGAAAGAATGAGAGGAAGGTTTGGTACAACAATACTGGGGTATCGCAATGGGCCCAAGGCCTCCGTGTGAGGAATCAAACATGATCCCAAACCCCAGCAACCTAACCTAATAAGTAATTGACATCTAGAGATTGGCCTCGCCAAAATTATCATCAATTGTCTTTGACGGCGATTTTTTTCGATCATACGGTACTTTTTTACATTTGCCTATAGTTTGTTTTGTTAAAAATTGGAGAAAAAAAAACTATTCCAATATTAATTTATTATAATATTATTATTATACTTACTGGTTTTAGTGCAATATATCTAGGAACACCACCTGCATACTTCACCATTGGTTCATAGCAATCGAAGAACGGTTCGATAATGATAACTTCGTCGCCATCATCGATATGACCTGTTATTGTTGAAAAAAGCGCTTCGTATGCGCCAAGAGTAGTTAAAACTTCTGTTTGAGGGTTGATTTCTCGGCCTATTAATTTGGAGTATAGTTTGGATAGTGCTTGAACTAATCTTGGGTGACCCTAAAAAAGCATTAACTTGAAAAAGAACTATCTAGTAATATTTTTATGTCTGCATAATGTCTATATTCTGTTCAGGATAGAATTTTGAACATCCTGTATGATTCACGATTACCATATTTATATTTATAGTAAAATTAAGTACATATCATCTAAAGTAAATACCTAATATAGTTTTAATTTAAGAACAGTTCTTGTATTTTTAATATTTTTTTTTAAGAAAGGCTAAAAAAATATATTTTTATTTATTTATTAATATCTCTGAAATTATAAGTGATCTGAAAGGAAGCCAAAAAATGTAATAATATACAGGGTGTTCCATTTAAAAAAAAATATCGTCTGGATGCACTCACACTTTTTGAACCACCCTATAGATATTAAAATGTTTTCCTGAAATAGATCCTAGTACATACTTTAGGTTTGCACTTTCAAAATTCCCAAATTTTTATTCTAGGAGCTACAGATGCCCGACGCACTTATTCCGGACCCTGTATATTTATCATTAAAGTGTGCCAATGCTGGTCAATGCAAATGGTATTTGGTTTGGTTTGGTTATGGTAATCTGTTTATATTACCGATTGATGTACGTATTCTGTGGTTTTTGATATCAATAAAGTACGATATGATCGAAAAAAACGGCGTCACAGATGGCTATGAAATGAAGATCGCTGTCATTTTATATGTAAAACTAGCGTGTACCCGCGTCTTCGTTCGAGTCGAATTAATCATTTGTAATGGTGATAATAAAGCAAAGCAAGAATTTCCATTAACATACCTACAAACTGGATAAAATTTTCTCACATTTATGTCAGCATGAGGAAAAACAATATGGCGATATTATTATATAACTTGGTAATATTTGCGGGGTAGTTTCATCTCATTGGAATTTGACTTTTTAAAAATCCGTTTGCCAAAAATAAGCTTTTTACGTCAAGCAGTTTAAGCAGAATCGTGGTTAATCAATTACCCAACTTTTTGGAACACCCTGTATGATTTTTTTAAAAAATTTACAACAAAATATGTAAAAAAAAACAAAATAAATTATGCGTGTCCAAGCGTTTTCCCGTAAGACTAACCGTTTTTTAAATAACAAATATTGTAATATTTGAGGGGCGTTTTCACCCTCTTGGAATTTGAGACTCGAGAAACCCCTCCTTATCGAACCTCTACACCCCACAGTCAATCCGTTTGCCAAAAAATCAGCTTTAAACGTCAAGCAGTTTAAGCAGAATCGTGATTACTTAATGGTCATATTTTATGGTGTTTCATAAAATAGAAGAGTTCTGTATAAATTTTTAAAAAATCTTAAAATATATAAAACAATAAAATAAAATATACGTGTTTAAGAGGTTTTCCGAAAAACTCACCGGTTTTTAAATAAGGAATATTCTTATATTTGAGGGGTGGTTTCACCCCCTTAGAATTCGAGTTTCGAAAAATCTCTTCTTATCGAACCTCTACACCCTAAAGTCAATCCGTTCTCCAAAAATCAGCTTTTTACGTCAAGCGCTTTAAGCAGGATCGTGATTAATCAATGACCAGATTTTTCGAAACACCCTGTATATATTTTTAAAAAATCTTAAAATATGTAAAAAATCAAAATAAAATATACGTGTTTAAGCGTTTTTTCGGAAACTTGACCGTTTTTTAAATAAAAAATATTGTAATATTTGAGGGGTGGTTTCACGCTCTTGGAACTGGAATTTCGAAAAATCCCTTCTTATCGAACCTCTACACCCTAGAATCAACCTGTATGTCAAAATTGAGCTTCTTATGTTGAGTGGTTTGAGCAGGATCTTGATTAATCAGTGAGTCAGTCACTTAAGGATTTTATATATTAGTATAGATTATATGGGGACTGTCATCGATCGTCATTTCCAAGCCAACTGGACGCCGTTTTTTTTCTCGATCATACGGTATTATTATTAATATAGAAAATATATCAAATCAGTTGTATTGACCTTGATTAATATCTTTAATAAATTTTCCACTTCTTCAGTATTTATATACTTTATGTGAAATATTATTAAATTGTTTGGTAATATGTGTTTATTTAGAAACAAAAAGTAAATTATTTTAAGTTAACGTTTCTTTTTTACTGCCAGGAACAATCTTTATCATATTATGTTATCATAAAAATATTTAAAATTACTTTTTGAGAGGAATTCCTGTAAAAGAAAATCCACTTAGAAGATAAAAATTAAATAAATTGAAATATTTTTTTATAATCATTACATGCTGCAGTGCTAATGTGCGTGTAATGCTTAATGCTTCTTAATTTCTTATCTTTTTACAAGTTTGCATTTAAAAAGGTGTCTAATGGTCTGTCATCTCATACAGTGGCAGTCGTACCTTCAAAAATAATTGAAGAATTAAAAAAACTCAGAATTAATCATAAAAGAATGTCATTGTGTTTAAAGTTTTTATAATAATCATATCTGAATAATGTTAGAAATATAATATTGCAACAAAAATGGTTTTTGCTAGTGCAACATAAAATGTATATCACAAAATACTGTATAGTACCGTATGATCGAAAAAAAACGCGTCCAGTTAGCTTGGAAATAACGATCTATGACACACAGTCCCCATATAATTTTACATATAAAACGAAACGACAGAGATCTTCATTTCATAGACATTGCTGGCGCCGTTTTTTTTTCAATCATATTGTACAAATATACAACAAATTTAAAGATTAATTAATTTTTATTCTGGTCTGTAATTAAAATATTAACAATTTTCTATGTATAAAAATAATTAAGTTTATTCCTTACAACATAACTAAAGGAAATAGTATGATTTTTATCTTTCAAATGTTATTTTATTTTATGAGTACTTAGTATAAAACAAACAGTCTATAATAGATTATTACCACTTGATGCCTACTTACATACAATGTAAAATAAAAATAAAGATATTTACTCAAGTTTATTCATTTAGTGCGTTAATGAATGCAATATTCTACTGTGCAATAAATATATAAAGAAAAACCGCTTGTCATTGGTTTTAGAGAATTACGCATAATAAAAAATAATTATTCACTGAGGTCAAGAGGGCTATGCTAATGATGAAGCAACTTATTACATTATAACATCTCCTAGATTATCTACTAATATTTGTTTCATTGATCTAAAACTTTAAATAAAAGAATTATTGTCTTTATATGTATGCCTTATCTCTGTTTATAGCCTTTATATTATTAAAAAATATAAAATATATAAAATCATTTAATTAGAATAATAAAACACGTAAAATACACATTTTTATGTACCTATTCTAATAATAAAGTATAAAAAAATGAGACTTACAAATCCTCTGGTGTACTGATGCAAATTCCTATTCGAGGCTACTTCTGTTAAGGCATCGGTTACATATTTTGGTGGTGGATAATCAGGAAAGCCCTGCCCCAAATTCAATGGTTTGTAATCTAATGCTAACTGAATATATTCAACCCTAAATCGTTTAATGTTAAAACACCAAAGAATTCTTTAATCAAACTTGTACTTACCAGACACTGGGTTCACTACCTTCGAACCTCTTGGGTAATTTAAATTTCTGTTCAATTTCAGTCATAACGACGGCCGGTGTACTTAACTGTCTCTGAAAAACAAGAAAAGGTCGTTTTGGCAAACGACCAGCCAACTTAGTCAATATGTTTTTAACGAGAGACATTCGAAATTAATATCAGAATATTTATAGAAAAGATAAAAACCACTTCACAATATAACAGATAAGAACCGGAATACATAAATATTAAGTTAATCAGTCGGTAAAAGTTTATTTACAAAAAAAAATTAAAAACCTAACCTCAATGTTGTACATTTGAACTACTACTACCACTATTTTTTATACTAGGATTTTGCTAGGATCCTAGGATGCGCTACATTATTTTATGATTTTACTTATTTTTGATTTAATTTGTAAGATGACAAACCTCCTAATTCATTTTTGGCTTCTCTAAAATCCATAGTAAATAATTATATAACTTACCTTGTTATGTTGTTTATGCGGAAAAATTTAAAACTTGAGAATGTAACTGCTTCAGGAACAAAATATTTTCATAGGAAAAATGCAACTACAATTGCATACAGTGCTGAAAAACACTGCTACTCGCTACAACTAACACATTCGCACTTACAAAGGGCCTAATTTGGCTTAAATAAAATAAAATATTAAATAGGGATTTTAGTAAAAGTGAAAGAGCTACAGCGACTACTACTGTGGAGCTACTGTCGAGGTGGCTGCATAACTGCTCGATAGCTCATTAATATTGCCCCACTCTGCTGCTACTTATCGCAGAAGATACACTTGCTGTGATTTTTTTTTCGAGAAAAGTACCTTAATTAAGAAGTCTATTAATCAAGTTCTATTAATCAATTTCACTTCTCAACAGACAATATTTCTATGTAACAATCTCTTTATTTTTTTATTTTTTATCTCTCACTTTTATTGTTTCATCAAATATTTAAGTCGGTATATTATAACAGAGAGTTATTGGCTTTCATTTCAAAAAATACAGTAAAAATAGTTATCTCTTCGTCTGTCCCTGATCTGTCTCAAATCAACAACTTGGGTGATCCTTATTATTTTATATAACAAGTGCGATATGTGCGTATATTATTAATTTACATTAATCATGTGCATTATCATTGCAAGTATATAGTGCTTGTGTTATAGTATTTGGTAGTGATATAAACAAAATTACAAATACGGCTGGTAACATGAATATCCATATAGATAATGTTGCGATACCCATTGTTACAGAGACTAAAAATCTTGGAGTTTATTTTGATTCGAAGCTTTCATTTCAGGCACATATAACTACTAAATTAAAGGCTGCTTATATACGGTTGAAGAATTTTTCGTCTCTTAAGAAATATATACCATCAAAGACTAAGTATCAATTATGTGACACACTTATTTTATCTTTATTTGATTATGGCGATGTTGTTTATGGTACATCCATAAACGCTAGATTCTCTAGAAAAATCCAAATACTTCAAAATTCGTGTCTACGGTTTTCTTTTAACATTCCTTTTAGAGATCATATAACGCCACATCTTAAAAATTTATCTATTTTATCCATGACTAACAGACGACAATTTCATTTAATGACATTCATTTATCGAATTTTAACTACAGAGCAGCCTCCCTATTTGTTCTCATTGTTTCACTACGTTGACCATGATCATTCGACTAGACAAGTGCATTATTTTAAAATTCCTCAACACCGAACAGCTCACTTCCAAAAATCTTTCAGTTTCATAGCGCCACATTTGTGGAATAATATTTCTAATAACTTTAAATTTCAATCCTTTACAGATTATAAAAAACAAATTAAAAATCATTTACTAAATTCGTAAATATTATAATTTCTTCGACTGATTTGTGAGATCTTGTTCTTCTGATATGCCCGTCATTGGTTGCTGTTCCGGTTTTTACACTGTTTCATTATGCCTCTCTGCTTATCTCCGCTCATCCCTGATAAAATTATATTTTCACTTTTTTATATAATTTTAATTTTTTTAATTCTGTTTATTTTTGTAATTTAATTTATTTCTATTTTGTATTTGGGGTCGCACCACTCTGGCACTTTGTGCCATTGTATCGGTTTTTTAATCGCGGCGCGATCCCTTTAGACACACATTTATTAATACTAATATTATTTTGTAAAACTTAATGGGGTCTAATAAAGAAATTTGAATTTGAATTTGAAGTAATTATGAAGAAAAATATAAAATTCATTAATATTATTATAATGATCGCTTCAACTATTTATTATTATTCTCATAGCTTTATACTTTGTAATCAAATAATCAAACAAACTTTATGAATAAGCTGCATGCTGCATGCGGTTTAGTAGCGTTGAAAGTTAAAGAGACCTTAATTTAATTTCTCATAAAAATTATTTATCTATTATGAACCGAAATGCACAGCTATAGTCTGTCCAGCGCGCAGCGACTCGAAATATTCGATAGACATCCAAAAAATGACAGAAAATACAATAATTTTCCTGTGAATTAATCACTGATGGTAATCACAATAATTATAGTAATCGGTAATCAAAGAATTTTCTTTTTTTCTTCTATTCTGTTTTTGAATAATTATTATCTTTTAATTAAGTGTAAAGATTCTCCCAATTTCAATAATTCCTCTATACTCTGAACTGAAATTGAAGGGCTTTAACATTGGCCACACAAATTAAAAAAATATATATTATGTTTTGTGCATTGTTCATTAGAAAAGTTATAAACCGTATTATCTTGCAGCTAAAATTATTTAACTTTATCAAGTTTTTACACATTTTGCTGTATTTCTGCACTGAAACATAAAGAAAAAAAATGTAATATTGCATATAGTAACCTTTTGCAACGCAGTCATCAATTTAAATATTACAAAATATCTTCATTAAACAAAAGATTTAAGTACATACAAATATCTTATTATTAACATCTAATTAAGAAATGTCAGTTAAGTTGCTGCGGTATAATTAAAAATAAATATTTTATTATGAGGCTTAATGCCAACCTTGCAGATTAAAAAAAACAGTACAATTGACTCAACTGAAATAAACTTAAAAAAAACTATACATAATAAAACATAAATTGTTCTTATAAACATCACTTAAACCATGTGTAAACTAAAATACGCATTTTGTGACAATATATACCTAAGATGACTTGGTGTTTGAACAATAAAAAAAAGTTTATTGAATCTCACAATCTTTGCCTTGCTTTAAAATATGTACATTGTGTAAATTTAGTGTCAATATACATGATTTACTTATTTAATATTGATATTTCCTACCGGTAACCATTTGCTCAAAACTTTTATCAACACAGGTACTATTTTCTGACTGATGGTGTTCAATGTAGAGAAAAACATTTAAGAGAATGCATTGATATAACATCAGAAAAGTGTCTTACACATACAATAGCTACCCTTCAACACGAGGGCAAGATAGTGAAAGCTCTATGAACAATAATGATATCTTTATATTCATAAGTATTGCTTGCACAGTAGTTTTGAAAAATATTCTAGCTGACGATGTGTTAGCAGTCAGCACTGACCACCGTTTTTTACCACATTTCACCGTTAAATCGTCATGTAAAAATATGCTGTTCACTTTCAAGTCTCAGTGACTATTTTTCAAGTTTTTTTGCGATTTATCTCTGGATTTCGATAAGCGAAAAACTAATGCAAATACAATGGTATAATGAATAAAAAATATTTATTTATGCGTAATGTCACACTTTTAAATAAAAAAAGTACAGTAGACTGTACCGGAATTCAATTTTTCGATACATAATATTTACATAATAAAGCATACAATAAGGACAATTCTAGATATCACGAAACATTGTATAAACTGAAAGATTTTTCTCACAATATAAGATGAATTGGTGTTTGAACAATAAAAAAAAGTTTATTGAATTATCTCACAATACTTGCATTAATTTAAAACATGTGTAAATTCTGTCAATATACATTATGTACTTATCTACCTAATATTGTTATTTCTTCCAGGTAACCTTTAACTCAAAAATTTTATGACCACAGCTACCATTTCTTACTAATGGTATTAAATGCACACGAAAACATTTAAGAGAAGGCATTGATATAACATCGTAAAAATGTCTTACACGTACAATAGCTACCCTTCAACACGAGGCAAGATAGTCAAAACTCTAAGAACAATAATATCTAACAATAATTAATTATATTCTTAAATGTTGCCCATTGCATTGTAAAACAAGAAATTACTGTTAAAAGTTGACGGTGTGTTAGGGCTTTGACAGTTGTACGTGAAGTCGTCCGAAAGAGTAGTACGATTCATGTTTGGTTCCGAAGCCGATCTGCTTATTTTCGGTTGATTTCTAAGAAGGTTTTCCAAGGACGAGAATATGTGACTAAAAAGAGGCCTTTCGTCGCGTTTAAACATGATGCATTGTTCTAATAAGCGTCGTAGAGCGTTGGGTGTGTCGTTTCGTAACAACGTCAAGTCCGGCGTTAAACGGCCTCTACCGACCATAAACAGAATTTGATCTTTGTTATTGATTTTCGAATACGGTAATTGTCCGGCCAACATTTCAAACATAACAATACCAAAAGCGTATATGTCACTCTGAAAACTATAAGGACTATCTTCCTGCATCCTTGTCACTTCCGGCGCCTTTCACAAAATGGACCCGGTAGGCCGATGAAACTGTTGCGATCCCGACCATCGAATCTTGGCTGTGGCTAGACCGAAATCTCCGATTTTGACCGTTAAATCGTCATGCAAAAATATGCTGTTTGATTTCAAGTCTCTGTGATATTTTTCAATTTTTTCTGCGACCTCTGGATTTCGATAAGCGTAAATGTTAATGCAAATACAGCGGTATAATGAATAAAAAATATTTATTTATGCGTAATGTCACACTTTCAAATAAAAAAAGTACAGTAGACTTTACTGAACTTCAATTTTTTAAATAAAAAATATTTACATAATAAAGCATACAATAAGGACAATTCTAGACATCACAAAACATTGAGTAAACTGAAAGATTTTTCTCACAATATAAGATGAATTGGTGTTTGAACAATAAAAAAAAGTTTATTGAATTATCTCACAATACTTGCATTAATTTAAAACATGTTGTGTAAATTCTGTGTCAATATACATCATGTACTTATCTACCTAATATTGTTATTTCTTCCAGGTAACCTTTAACTCAAAAATTTTATCACCACAGCTACTATTTCTTACTAATGGTATTAAATGCACACGAAAACATTTAAGAGAAGGCGTTGATATAACATCGTAAAAGTGTCTTACACGTACAATAGCTACCCTTCAACACGAGGCAAGATAGTCAAAACTCTAAGAACAATATAATATCTAACAATTAATTATATTCTTAAATGTTGCCCATTGCATCGTAAAACAAGAAATTACTGTTATAAGTTGAAGGTGTGTTGGGGCTTTGACAGTTGTACGTGAAATCGTCCGAAAGAGTAGTACGATTCATGTTTGGTTCCGAAGCCGATCTGCTTATTTTCGGTTGATTTCTAAGAAGGTTTTCCAAGGACGAGAATATGTGACTAAAAAGAGGCCTTTCGTCGCGTTTAAACATGATGCATTGTTCTAATAAGCGTCGTAGAGCGTTGGGTGTGTCGTTTCGTAACAACGTCAAATCCGGTGTTAATCGTCCCCTACCGACCATAAACAGAATTTGATCTTTGTTATTGATTTTCGAATACGGTAATTGTCCGGCCAACATTTCGAACATAACAATACCAAAAGCGTATACGTCACTCTGAAAACTATAAGGACTATCTTCCTGCATCCTTATTACTTCTGGCGCCATCCACAAAATGGACCCGGTAGGCTGATGGAACTGTTGCGATCCCGACCATCGAATCTTGGCCGTGGCTAGACCAAAATCTCCGATTTTCACCGTTAAATCGTCGTGTAAAAATATATTGTTCGATTTCAAGTCTCTATGAATGATATTTTTCGCGTGGAGGTATTCCATTCCTTGGGCGATTTGCCTCTGGATTTCAATAAGTGTGAATAGTAAGAATTTTGTTTCAACAATGTGGAGGTGTTTGTATAAACTACTTCCGTCGCACCATTGCGTTACAATGGCTAACTGGGGTTTGCTCACGCACCCCATGAACAAGAGGATATTCACGTGGCGCGTTTTGCGTAGAACAGCTACTTCGTTTTTGAACGCTTGTAGTTGAGCCGCGGTGGGAATTTTTACGTTTAGAGTCTTTACGGCGACTGGGCCGTGCCAGTGGGCTTTGTACACCGTCCCAAAGGATCCGCTGCCTACTCGGGCTCCGACCAGTATCTCGTCTGCGGGTATTTCCCAATCCTCGATGCTTTCTCGGGGAGCGAGCAGCGGCTTACTTTCATCTGCCGATCTGTAACAAAAATATGCGCTATTTGTATAAAATCCTGACATTACAACATTTCCTATGTGATGTAAAATATTCCAACAAGAAATTCTTAAGCTAGTTGTATTTTTTTTGCTATTGGACATGCTCAACTGATTACAGTTAACTTTTCCAAAAAAATATTGTTGCAAACTTGTCGTGGGCACTATTTTTTATTCAATAAATGATTTGAAGAATAACTAAATGTTCTAACTTATCAACAAATCATCCTGTAAATCAGATGTGAAATCAAATTTAATTTTGTATATTTTGTTTCTTCATATTGAATATTTATAAACTTATATATACTTATAGTACAGAAATAACTGATTTTAAATATTTTTAACAATGTCTCGCTGGGGTCAGCCATATTGAAACCAATATTATACAGGGTGATCCGTATTGATAATGTCATTTTAACAGAACGTCAACGGTTTTTGTAGACGTATCTGTTTAAAAAAACTAAAATGTTCTCGAATAGTTGCATTTAGGTATGTATTTTAAATAGTTTTTTCTTTATTCTTTGTATTTTTTTGCTTCAAACGACGGAAGGAGATAAACTTTCCGAAACGTTAAGGATTTTTTTGTTCGTTTTGCAAATTTGTTCATCAGTAAACATAACTGCTAACAATTAGTCTCCGCTGGATTAATAATGTGATGTGTGTGTGCCACATTCATAATAACATACCTTTAAACATAAAAAAAAACATAAAGCATATCAAAATTAAATAAACAATTTTTTTCTAAATATGGCTATTTAAATTTTTTAACTTAATAACCTCTTATTCAGTTTTTATGCAAAAGCGCAATATCTGTTATGATGTCAAACAGCGCCCTCTAGCTACATACCACAAAAACACCTATGGAAACACAATTTATACTGGCAATCATTAGGGAAGCAAGGCTCTCTTAAACGAGCCCTAGTTTGTTTAAATCAGCTAACCTAAACCAGAGTTATCCTTATTTTAATAAAAGCAACCTTCCCCATCACTTTATTTTATGAGATAGTGGAAAATACGCTATATCAAGAAAATTAGAAATATCCCGTTGATTACAATAAAAAATCCTGTTTTCTGATTGACTATGCGCCCTCAAGCGGAGATTTTTCAAATTTGAAAATAATTACCAGCGGTTTCTCTTGGCCAATTTACTTATTACAATCTTTTTCCTAAGTTAAACATAAGTAGTTTCTGAGACAGCTGTCCATTCTTAATTGGTCACCCAGTACAATAATAAAAAAATGTAATATGTATTTACAAATTTTGTAAAATTCTGCTAGCCTTATTTAGAAAAAAAAATAGTTTAACTGATGAATTTTGATATGCTTCGTTTTTTATTTATAAAGGTATGTTATTATAAATGTTAATATTGTTGTAATATATTCTATTCTCCTTTCTATTTGAATTTTATTCTATTTTCTATATTACAATTTTTTTCCAATACAATGCTATTTACAGTTTTTTGTATGTATATTTTTTAATTTCTAAAAATGAATTTATTTGTATATTTCTGCTTTGGCATATTTTCAACACACAAATTTCAAGAAATGCAATACAAAAACTGGAAAATTTACTTTTTAAAAGAACTGTTTGTGCTTAAAAGTACAATTTTTAAAAAGACTATGAAAATAGGCAAAAAAAACGAGAATTATTCGCTAAGATTCAGCAACAATAACACAATATAATACAAAATACTGATTGACATTAGGATAATTGTCAAATAATAACCGAAAACCTTGCTGAAAACCGCGCAATGTGACCAACATAGCGATAATAAAATTCGGTTTAAACTAATTTTTGCAGCTTTAATCTAACTAAAATATCTGTTACAATCATTTGCTCTATAAAGTCAAATGAAGAGCTGCTCGTTATCTTAAATTATAGAACAAATTTAAACATTTTTGCCAAAATTTCATTTAGTCAGGTTTGTAGACTTTAGTGTGAATAATCTCGATATGATTGATGACGTGCATCAGAAAATGTTTTGCGATTACAATAAATACCTAGCTCTTGGGCGTTTAGGCTGCAGGGATCCTGTTGGAGAAGCTTGGGTACTTCTGCAGTGTGGAGAATCATGTTCAGAGGTAGGCTTTGCTAAAAGGGGCAAAGGTCTAGCACCTTCCAATGTCGAACCTAAACATAATCATAATTTGATAAAAACTAGGCTGGCCCTAACAAACTATTACAGTAGAAACCAATAATTTTATAAAACACCAATCAAACCTATAACTTTCTTAATTATTTTTAAACAAACATCATTTTTTGTTAAATTTTATCAAAGATAAGAAAAGTAAATAAATATTTATTTATGTCTGAGCAACCAAATTTACCTTTGACACTATTCAAGCAGACATTTGGTGCAGAGCTGGCTCTATCCTGCTGACCTAGAGAAGAATGTTGCCTTTCTGGTTGCTGGCGGGTGATGAAAGCAGCTTGACCTACTTGTAGGATACCCGCACTAGAATCCATAGGTTGAGTTAACAGGTACTTGTAGTAGGCATCAGTCATTCTAGCCTATTTAAAAATTACACATAAAATTATTGCCAGAGTTTTCAACAACGGTTAATATACAATACAGTGCTTCTAAAAATAATAACTGATCTTATTATCAAATTTCAATTAGATAAACACTTGTTTTCTTTATCATTACCTGGTGACACAAAGAAGGAACTCCTGAAGCGCATCTTTGATGAAACTTATAGCCGCATGTCCTACAATTAAATCCCGTAAAAACTAGTTTTCTACACACCTCACAAAACACTATTGAAAAAAATGTTTTTCTCACAAAGTTATGAGAGATACTAGTAGGAATAGGAAACTTGTCTATAATCTTAATTGTCACTAAATCACAATCGAGAGTACTTATATCAACGTTCCAATTAATTCTAACTGTTGAATTTTCGTCCCCAAGATATGCCACACACATCTCACAACTAAGATTTCTCAACTTCATTCCTTTCGCTAATGCTCGACGTAATGTCAGTCCCTCACGTATTTGTACACTGGTTCTCTGCTGATTAGGTAAAAAAGCCCTTAGTAATCTAGGTGTTGTATGATGAGTTGATGTTTGCGGCAACTGGTGTCTTAAGTATGGAGCTTGTTCAGGAGGACTCTGTACATAATGTTTTTCTCTCTCCAATGTTGAGTAACCGCTGTAATTTTGACTTCTGATTGATTGGCTACTTGAACTACCACTGCAAAAAAACAGTTTTTAAATTATGAATTACAAAATGTAAAATTGATGTGTGTGAAAATAAATGTTTAACCATCTGTATCATAGTAATGTTTATATAATATCGTTAGAAACTGTATTATTTAGTCAATATTTACATGAGCACTATGTACCTGTGAGAATCTCTACAACTGTTGTTTCCATTTCCCATTTGTTCAGTTAGTTTTCGTTTATTTTCTTCAAGTTCGTGTAATTTACACGTTAGGTCGTCATATTCTTTCAAATACATTGGTGGCGGTAGCGGAAAATCAGCAAATTTTGCATTCAAAGCATCAATGTTAGCTCTGGTCAAACTGATGACATTTTCAATATTTTTAATCTCTTCTTGTAAGTCCATGACAATTTCTTCCTCGCTTTCGCTCGACATTGTGTCACTAAGTGAGGCCGCATTAGCATAAGAAAATACACTTCCATTCAGTGATTTTTTGGTCGTATTATTAAATCGTTCGAATTCCTGCAAAACGGCCATAGCACTTTTTACGTTCGTTTCATTTTTTCTACAATTTTCACCTCCACAGACGTTGACGTTTTACTGGCCGTCAATTTGCTTCTTTTGACAATTGATGATGTCATCCAATGTCAACTGCATAGTGTGCCATCTATTAGATGGAGAAGGAAGGAGAAAAAAGTAAGGACCATAGACAAAATTCCAGTCATATATAAAAATAGACATGGGGTTTGTAACATATTTTTTTCTGGGATTTTATTTTTTATTTTTAACTCTATAGATTTCATCCAAAAATTTTTAAACAGATAAAATGAATCTGAAGAGATTTAAAAAAATTAATATAGATTTTGATAACTGAATAAGTACCTTCTGAATAACAGAACAATTAGTTTTATTTCAATCTGACACAATTTACCAGAAAAATACATCATCAATTAATTAATGATATTGAAGGATAAGCAAAATGCTATCTAGGTATAAATTCAATAATATATTTTCTATTTAAACGTTTACCTAATATTGACTAACTCTAAATCACAGCTCACAACTCACAACTATAGGAATATTTCTATAATATACATTCTGTTATGATGTTTTAAATCTAAATATAGTTTTTTACATCTCTATTTAAAAAATATTTCAATATATTCATTCAAATGTTCTGTATATAACTACATTAATACATCAATTTTTTAAAACTATAAATGATTTAAACTTACAAAATAGCTGATAACTGATTTATAAAACTGAAATACATCTTTGCGCGAATTATGGCTTAAATTTAGGAATACATTGTCAACATTACACAGCTACATTTTCAACATTTACAGATAACATAAGTACATACATGTTAAAACTTACTCATCAGTCAGATTATAAAAAATATTTTTATTTCACTATTAATCTTCACTTAATCTACCATTGATTTTACTGAGTTTGTTTCGAGATATGTTATCAAAAAATAGTAAGCCAGCTGCCTTTTCAATCGTATTAGGTGGAACCTATGAATAAAATATTTTAACTTTATAAAAACCATTTTTTTACTTTATATAAAATGAATACCTGAAAATGCTCCAATGGAATTTCATTATTAATAGGCTCGTTACCCATTACATAAGATTCCATTTCAAAGCGGCCATCTTTAGTCTCACCCACTATAACTTTAAAAAAATGAGTTGGAACAGCTACATGATTTTTTCCAATCACTTCATATTTAACGTATAGTTTCCCATCAGCTTCTCTTCTAAAGCACACATGAATATAGATGGAATATAATAAATAAAATATATGACAACTATGTCTTACCTTGGTAAGTATATTGGGCCTGTACAGCAATAAACATTAGTGTAGAATTTGGTTAATTTCCGAACATATTTTTCTAGTCTATTCCAAGAGTCTCTATTAAAACCTTTTCCTACTTGTGGTGCTATATTTGATAAATAAAATGTCTCAGTTATATGTTCCTGTTCAGATTTATGATTTCCAGCTGCTGCAAGATGCCCTCTGTCATACCCAGATTTTCTATAATCTGTATTGTCCGCCCTACATGACATATATTAGTAAATATAATCAAATACCTGTATAAATATGAAAATATGTCTACAATTTCATTTGTAGACATATATTATATATCTGTACCGCAGAAGTAAACTACGTTAAGTCACAAAACACAGTTTTGAGAAAAATAAAAGTTCTTTTTTGAAATTATTTCCCAATTACTCGATTATTTGACTAACTTATTTTGAACTAAAATGAAATGTAAAACAGTTTTTTAAATTATACTAACACTTTTTGGAGTGAGTCAAATATGCCAATTTTGGACTTGACTTAACATAGTTTGGCATCTAGTGTACAGATATTGTATTTCTACAATTTAACTATCAACCTACTTACCTGAATAAAGGATGAATAGCTTCATCAGGTTTAAAAACGCATTTAGACCTATCTACCCCATCCTTTTCTTTTATACTGTCTGCTGTTAAATGCTCAAAAACCCAATGTGCCACTCTGTTTCTTCTATCATAACTCACGATGAAATTTTTAAATGGTCTGATATTATCCATCCCAGGAAATCCATACTTCATAATTTCGGCAATTCTTCCTTCTTTTTCCGACTCTGATGGTACATTGGGTGTGTAAGCCAATTCTTTTTCATCGCTTGGAACTGGGTATGCTGCATTAACAGTCTGAAATAATGAAAACCATGGCTGTGTTTTTCCTTGGGAAGAAATATTTTCGTGACATTGTGAATAACCAGCAGACTCTTTTAGCATTTCTGGGAAATTTCCGGACTCATATATTTGATAATAATTATCCGAATTAGCTACTGCAACTGTCCCAAAAATAGGCAAACCTGGCTTATTGGCTAACTTGAACGTCGGAAGATTGGAGAACTTATTATAATAGGAGCCAGCAACAAAAGCAGTAGTAGCTACTGTTCCAATTATAATAATATTTTTTAGCTTTTTATTTGCCATTATACTTCTAAATATCCTTTTTATTTTCCTAATTATTTTTCGAAAAGTTGAGGTTATGATAGACCATAGACATGACTGGACCTGTGACTGGACCCTGTGACTGGACCTTTGGCTGGACGAAAAGGAAAAGGACAGAAATAAATTGCAGAAAATCGGAGATATATTGTGTCTTATATCATGGTACAAAGAAAACAGGTGTCAGGTGTCTATATCTCTGAGAAAATCAAATATTCAGACATATATATTCATAGAAAATAACCTAAATATATATTAATGTGTGACTCGTTTTACTATAATGTGGTTCTACTATAAAATTGCATTGCAAAAAGAGAATTAGCTTATAAAAATATAACTTTTACCTTATCCTTTTCATATTAATAATAACATTTTACCAAATTCCTTACATTTTTAAGTTTAGCTTGAATACCTACCTACTCACTATTTCGCTCAAATATTCAGTGTACAATTTTTGTATTTGCTATTTTGTGTCATTTCTCTATCAACATATCAATCAAATATCAATTTTGAGTAGTTAAAAACCAAAAAACAGCGAAAAAAATTTTAAAATTTTGTTTATAAACAAAGAGATATAGGTTATGTAACCGTTTTACTTACAGGGATCTGTAACAATTTGTAAAAAGGGGAATAGTCTGACTAGTTCCAATAGATGTCGCTATATTTTTTGAGTCCGTTAGAGATGGGGATATGATCTCTGGATATGATGGTGGATAAAAAAATATAAAAAATAAATACCTAGTGCATTTTACAATGCCTTTTTTTACATTTTATATGCTATTTTTTTTACATAACTTATCCAATCTAGTTAGTAATCCAATCTGAGTTTTTTTTATGTTATTTAATAAAATGTTCTATAAGGGTTCGATTTAAGTCCAAAATATCCGTTATTTTAATTTGAAAATTAAAGAAAAAAGATTTTTTGTGTAAATTTCTAATCGGCGTCTAGAGGATGACACGACAAAATATTTTCGACCATAATTTCTATAAAGTCGCTATGACCATAGATAAAAGAAAATAATCTACTATTAAGATAGATATGAAACTTAATAGTAAAATTTTGGGTCAAAGCGCCCCTCCGTGTTTTTAGTGGAGACTACGTTTAACCCAGCGCCTTCGCCTTTTCTGCTGTAAATGTTTTTTATGTTTATATTTGAATTCAAAGGATTTATTTTTAAAGTTGCACTGATATATTAGTATATCAGAGTAACTTTAATAAAACATAAGAATATATATATTTTACAATTTATTTTTTTATTTATTTTACAGAGTTTCATGTAAATGATCGTAAGTCGACTGGCTGTCTAATGAATAGACCGAGATTTATAGATTTTAAAGCGAACGAAAAAAAATCAAAGAACAAATATATACCATATATTTTACTTTTATCTAAGATACATACCTTATCGTATTTTGGAAACACGTACATTTTTGCAGTTTTGTTAGTTTCTTTGCAAGATGCAACACAACAAGAAAACACCATTTTTACAGTTAATAAATAATAAAACTATTTCTGACTATGATATTTAAAATTTAGATAGATAGAAAATTAAAAAACAAACGAGTATTTGCAAACGCAGGCCCAAATTCAATAAAAATCAAAATTTTTCCTGCGAAAATCAGGCTTTTTTCACTGAAAAGGTATTTTTTGATTTATCAGCAGTCATTGTCAAGTTGACAATATACAGGGTGTTTTGGAATTAGTCTAAAAAAATTATGTTGTGATTCCTCATGTGTTATTAAAACAATTTTTATATATAACCATTAGGTCTAAAGTACTTCCTTTCTGATCTACAGGGTGTTAAAAATTAAAAAAAATCGATTTTTTTTGCTTAACATAAATGGTACACATGGTTTTTTGCTTAACATAAATGGTACATATGGTTTTTAAAGAAAATATATTTTTTCTTTGACTGGCCATCCTTTTTCAACAAAATTTATCTTTTGAGTTTTTCTTGTTCATCAAACGGTTGTCGAGAAAAAAATAAATATACTTATTAAGAGCCCGCCTTAATTCGTTTTCTAACGATTTTTTATTTTTTAGATTAATTAGGAAACACCCTGTATATGCATATCACAGGCAACCAAATAAACTAGTAACCTCTAAAAATTATTTTTCCTACTACTAGCGACATACCGTGTTTTTAGTGTGTACTAAATTATTTTATCAAAATTTCACCATGTAAGTTTCCAGGCAATGGCTATGACATATTGTTTTGTGTAAGATATATTACCATCAGGGTTCGGAAAACTACATGTTACTTTTAAAAACTACATTACATGTAGTTAATGTAGTTAATGTAGTTTATGCAGAGGGGTGTAGTTTATGTAACCTATGTATGTAACTTTCAAATATCAAAGGTTTGAGGTGAGGTTATAATAAGTTGAAGCTTTAAAAACACATAATGAATTTAAGAAAACAGAAGAAATATGGCTTTAAATATAATATTTACATCATATTATCTCATTACACCTCATACAAAGGAAAACTATTCATAAAATATCAAAACTTAGTTTATTCATGTAGTTAATGAACGGGAAAGACGTAGCTTTTTAAGAAAAACTACACGTAGTTAATCAGGTAAATTACGTCTTAATTAACTACTTCCGAACCCTGATTACCATTATATAAACTTTTATTTGTAAAACAATTTTTTAGCCGACCATACCAATAGGTACGGTAGGCTATTAAGATCGACAAAAAAAGTTTTTTTAATTTCACTCAAAATGAGTTATTTGGGACATAAATACAAAATATTTTCATGGTGTCTGTCTGTCTGTCCGTCTGTAACACGATAATCAAAAACCGCTGAACCGATTTTAACCAAATAACACAAAAATACTGTGGCACCGGAGAATCTGGCCATTAGTTTTTGGTGGGGATGTGGTAAAGCGGTATGGGAGGGGGTTTAAAATTTTTTTAAAAAATCGTAACTCCAAAATTACAGTAGCTAGCGAAACGCGATTTTCAAATTAAGATTAGGAATAATATTTGCAACAAAATTTGTAATAACATCAAAATCAAAGTCGCAGTTTTTGAGATACTAACATATTTTAGTATGGGGCTATACGTGTGCCTCACGGCGAAATTTTTTTTTGTAAAATTATTTTATTTTTTGAATAGTCAACATTAAGTTTCTCTTTATGCAATTCAAACCTAATGACTTTTTATATAAAACAGTTAGTACAATTAAACTCATGCATGAACGAATAAAAAATACGAAATTTTAGCTGTTTCTCTTATTAATCTTTTAAATTTTTCCAAATCTTATTTTTAAAAAAATTCTACCTAGGGTATATATACTAAATGAATGATTAATGTCACGGTCATTGCAATACTATAGGTACTCCAATATTGTTTTGTACTGCTTCGTTATCCTACAAGTTCCATCAGACTGAACTCTAAGTACTTTTTCATGCACCACATGGTTCGTCTTCTTACACCCCCTTTTGCGTGCTTGATTTTCCTAAACCTATAATAATCATCTATGTTTAATATGTCGCGTGTGCTAGTTCATTTTGTTCTTTGCCGAACACCGTAACAGATACCCATAACAACATATCGTTAGTCGAAACTGTGATAATGTGCCTCCTTACTTATTTTGATTATTTGTGCTGAATGGGTTAAATATTTACAGTTTTTCCTCGAAAATATTTCACGTAAGTTATAAAAGTATTTATTTCCTATTTTATTATATTATTTCAGCGTTATTGCTGGGATATATCCAACATTTCTAGAACAAATTTTAAGAAATTTTTGTATAAACTTTCACCCCTAATTTCAAAAATCGCTTCTGTGTACTCACTTTTTTCACTTAACGGCCAAACTCTGTGCCAAATTTCATCCTAGTCAGGACAGATTTTCTAGAACTTCTAGAACAAATTTTTGTACAAACTTTCACCCCTAATTTCAAAAATCGCTTCTGTGTACCTATTCACTTTTTCACTTAACGGCCAAACTCTGTGCCAAATTTCATCCTAGTCAGGATAGATTTTCTAGAACTTCTGGAACAAATATTAACAAATTTTTGTACAAATTTTCACCCCTAATTTCAAAAATCGCTTCTGTGTACCTATTCAATTTTTCACTTAACGGCCAAACTCTGTGCCAAATTTCATCCTAGTCAGGACAGATTTTCTAGAACTTCTAGAACAAATTTTTGTACAAACTTTCACCCCTAATTTCAAAAATCGCTTCTGTGTACTCACTTTTTTCACTTAACTGCCAAACTCTGTGCCAAATTTTATACTAGTCAGGACAGATATTCTAGAACAAATTTTAACAAATTCTTGTACGAACTTTCACCCCTAATTTCAAAAATCGCTTCTGTGTACTCACTTTTTTCACTACGGCCAAACTCTGTGCCAAATTTCATCCTAGTCAGGACAGATTTTCTAGAACTTCTAGAACAAATTTTTGTACAAACTTTCACCCCTAATTTCAAAAATCGCTTCTGTGTACTCACTTTTTTCACTTCACGGCCAAACTCTGTGCTAAATTTCATACTAGTCAGGACAGATATTCTAGAACAAATTTTAACAAATTTTTGTACGAACTTTCACCCCTAATTTCAAAAATCGCTTCTGTGTACTCACTTTTTTCACTACGGCCAAACTCTGTGCCAAATTTCATCCTAGTCAGGACAGATTTTCTAGAACTTCTAGAACAAATTTTTGTACAAACTTTCACCCCTAATTTCAAAATCGCTTCTGTGTACTCACTTTTTTCACTTAACTGCCAAACTCTGTGCCAAATTTCATACTAGTCAGGACAGATATTCTAGAACAAATTTTAACAAATTTTTGTACGAACTTTCACCCCTAATTTCAAAAATCGCTTCTGTGTACTCACTTTTTTCACTACGGCCAAACTTTGTGCCAAATTTCATACTAGTCAGGACAGATTTTCTAGAACTTCTAGAACAAATTTTTGTACAATCTTTCACCCCTAATTTCAAAAATCGCTTCTGTATACTCACTTTTTTTACTTAACTGCCAAACTCTATGCCAAATTTCATACTAGTCAGGACAGATATTCTAGAACAAATTTTAACAAATTTTTGTACGAACTTTCACCCCTAATTTCAAAAATCGCTTCTGTGTACTCACTTTTTTCACTACGGCCAAACCCTGTGCCAAATTTCATCCTAGTCAGGACAGATTTTCTAGAACTTCTAGAACAAATTTTTGTACAAACTTTCACCCCTAATTTCAAAAATCGCTTCTGTGTACTCACTTTTTTCACTTAACTGCCAAACTCTGTGCCAAATTTCATACTAGTCAGGACAGATATTCTAGAACAAATATTAACAAATTTTTGTACGAACTTTCACCCCTAATTTCAAAAATCGCTTCTGTGTACTCACTTTTTTCACTACGGCCAAACTCTGTGCCAAATTTCATCCTAGTCAGGACAGATTTTCTAGAACTTCTAGAACAAATTTTTGTACAAACTTTCACCCCTAATTTCAAAAATCGCTTCTGTGTACTCACTTTTTTCACTTAACGGCCAAACTCTGTGCCAAATTTCATACTAGTCAGGACAGATAGTCTAGAACTTTTAGAACAAGTT